GCAGGCCAACCCTAAATCCTAAACCCAAACCCAGTGGCAAGGGGAGTGTATATGGAGCCTGGATTGGACAGACTCTTGCTCTCCCCAATCCCGTTGCCGTAGGCTGGGTTGTACAGATCGCCTAGGCTTGGGCGTAGTTTAGGCCCTAAACTAAAAAACCTAAATATCCTTATATACACCTATAAAACCCTTTATATCCCTATATATCCCTATATAACCCCTTTCTCATGCTTGGGAGGAAGCAGACTCCTCTGTTACACCTGACCTTACAGTAGAGCCTTGCGAAGTGCCGGATTGCTCCCAGGTTGCTCCGTTGTTCCTCACACCTAAGGCATGTCCATTTCTGCAAGACCTCAAGACTTGAGCAGTGATTTTTCTGGCGGTTGCGCCAATTAAGATACTCTTCCTTATATAAAATGCGATACCCAAAAGGAGGATGTAATCTTACTCTATATTGGGTACCATAGTATATTATTATTCACGGACGTCGGTCGGTCAGGTGAATCAGGCGCTGAGCTCCCCAAATCAAATACTACGCACTTGTACCTGTACCTGAATGGTCTCCTGGCCTGGGGTTCCCGCTGCCAGTCCTTCTTAGGAAAGCTATTTGAATTGTGTCAGTTTGCTCGCAGGGGTTCCACATAGCGATGAGCTCCCGAATGCCCTGTTGTCACTCGTACTTAAAAAAGCCTTTCAACAGCTCCGCTGTATGATCATGCCACCGCTGGCCCTCAACCGCAGATACCACTTTTCAGATGGGTCACAGCTGGTGAAACTGCAGTGGCCTCCGCGCTTGACTTCCACGAGATAGCCTCAGCTGACTGGCCCAACACAAAATTAAAACCTCTAGAACTCTTGCTATACGATATGGGAAACCCACACACCCTAGCGTCCTGAGAAAACCTAAATACCCTCTATCCTAGATGGTTAACTTCAAAGTAATCCTAGAAGTGTCCAACGTCTTTGACCGTCTCGTCAAACACCCCAAGCCCCAAATCTTATAACGCAGTGGGAACTTGTTTGTTGAAGGGTTTTGGGCTGATGCATCTTTTATGTCCTCCATACTTGTTTATATCCTCGGCTTCCAGCGTGCATCTTAAGCCCCAAATCCTAAGCCCTGCCGTAGCTTCCATTCTCCTTTTCTCATTCCCTAGTCCGTACTAACTACTGAACCATTCAATATACTATTATAGTAACTTCCATTTTCTTTTCCATTATCCCTATGTAACCCCAAAAAACTATAGTAGTTTCCATTGTCTTTTCCATTATCCCTAAATAACACCAAAAACACTATAGCAGTTTCCATATTCTTGATCATTATCCCGATGTAAAACCCAATAGACTATAGTAGCTTCAATTTTCTGATCCATAATCCCTATGTAACCCCAAACATAAAAATGAGACTAATGTTACCCAAATACAAATAACCCCTATATAACCCCAATATAATACTTTCCATGTTTCTTTTCCGCCACGCAACTGCAGCCCTCCGGCTTCTGTGCAAAGTCTCGGCCGAGAGCCTGCCCCAGACTGGGTCGCTGCCGAGCAACTTGAATTAAGTTAAGCTGGCAAGGAAACCCTCTAATTCAAGTCTACACATACATACATACATACATACATACATACATACACAGACACATACATACATACACAGACACATACATGCAAAGGATTCTACAAGAAATCTTGAGAGAATCCCGTCCATGTAGACCCGCTTCTGTGGGGCCAGATTCACGGAATAGTTTAGGCTACTGTTGCAAAAGCAAGAAAATGTGTTGTTTCATTCTATGGCGACCAGAGAGGCATACCCAAAATGACGGAGACTTCAGATACAAGGACCGAAGACGGTATGCTCAAATTCACAGAACAAACCTCCTAAGCCCCAGAAAACTGTGTGCAAGGGGCTTGCGACCTTTAGCCTACATGTTTGCAGACCAAGTGGGGGCTTTCACATGTCAGGCGTCTGGCTGATGGCTACAAGGAGACGAACCGAGCATAACCGAACCAAGCACTGTGGATCCGATTCTAAGGTCCCGGGAATCAGCGGAGGGGCACGTACAGGGACTATGAATCAGGAAGCTCACATGCCAAACCAGCCGCGTAACTTGGAGGTATCGTAGGTTCTAGCCTGGAGCTAACGTCAGTTCTTCTCATTCAATCTGATACTACCTTCCTGCATGCAGAGTAGATGTCTGCAGAAGATTGCTACGTTAAGGCTTTGGCAAGCGGCATGTGAGTTGAACCGTAGCTGACTTTCGGCAAGGCACGTTTCCCTCAGTGCCAATGACTGTGTCCTCGGTGCCAATCATGACCTGGTTGTTCTTCGACCCCTTGAAAGATCAATCTGCCACGATTCCCGCAGGTTGTTTTGAAGACTACAATTAACCCAGGTAGGCATGTACTGCGTTCCGTCAAATGGGGGAGTCCACAAAATTAGGACAGCTTGGGCCAGGACCCTCAACAACACTTCTCACAAATCCTGAACTCATAGATCCCTAAACCCATGGATCCCTAAACCCATAGATCTCTAAACCCATAGATCCCTAAACCCATGGATCCCTAGACCATCCTAAACCCATGTATCCCTAAACCTTACCCCCATAGACCCCAGAACTCCTGCAGCCGTAACCCACAGACTTGACCCTCTCAACTCTGAGCCGTAAGGCCTTAAGGTTTAGGGTTTAGGGTTTAGGGTTTAGCCCTAAGCCGTGTAGCCCTTAGCCCATCAAAACCCGGAGCCTTAACCCATGAAACCCTTCACCTACAAGCGTTAACCCATCAAACTAAACCTTGAACCTTAAACCCAAAACCCTAAACAGTAGTTTCCCATTTTCTTTCCAATTATCCCTATATAACCCCTATATAACCCTAAACCCCTATAAACCC